ATGCTTTCGCCATGGGAGATCGCTGAGATCGCCGCTGTGAGCGCGGAGGGTCCGAGTACCCAAATGGTCCCAAAATCGGTTTTTGGGTTTAGGGTTTTGGGGTTTAGGGTTTAGGGTTTTGGGGTGTTGGGGTTTAGGGTTTAGGGTTTAGGGTTTTGGGGTTTAGGGTTTTGGGGTTTAGGGTCTAGGGATTAGGGTTGAGGGGTTGAGATAAGGAATTTCAAGGTTTGGGGCATTCATAAGAATAGGTGTTTAGAGTTTCGGGCTTCCTGAACGTTTAGAGGGTCCAAGTATCCAACTAATGGGCTTTCTGTGCCGAATCCGATGCTCCGAGTGGCTCTTGGTACCTAAAGCCCTCGTCTTAGGGCACCTGCCCCAAACCCTAAACCCTTAACCCTAAACCCTAAACCCTTAACCCTAAACCCTAAACCCTTAACCCTAAACCCTAAACCCTGAACCCTAAACCCTTAATTCCGGCTCCCGGCCCTGCACCCGCAAGCCCAAACCCGAAGCACTCAGGGCCTTCAGCATGCAAAACGGACGGCTCCTTTCGGGATCTCAACCATAGTTAGAGTAGGTCATCCCGAAAACGGTATGAAATTGTAGGGCGTAGGTGCCCTAAGCTTACTAAACCCTAAACCCTGAACCCTAAGGCACCCTAAACCCTAAACCCTAAACCCTGAAGCCCTGAACCCAAAGGCGCCGCCTCCGCTCGTCTTCATCTGCCAGGCGCCGGGCGCTGCACCTGGCGGCGGGGCGCTGTAAGACAAAACAGTGCTTCCGGATTTAGGGTTTAGGGTTTAGGGTTTAGGGTTTAGGAGCCGAGAGCAGGTTAATGTATGGGCCTAAATAATTTGAATAAGGTTTTGGGGTAGTTTATACTATAATTGTAAAAAGGAGCCCCCCCAGAATCGCATAGGTAATTATTTAGGCTTCTATATTATGGTTTAGGGTTTAGGGTTTAGGGTTTAGGGTTTAGGGTTTAGGGTTTAGGGTTTAGGGTTTAGGCTTACCAGACGGCGGTTTTGGGAGAGCCTATAGGCTTGGGGTTTGGGTGGATGTAACGGGGCTTCATGAGCGACTTCGAGGGTTTTATAGGTTTAGGGTTTAGGGTTTATGCAAGCAGTCATGGGACAATCCAGAAGCGAATCACTTGTGGATGAACTACAGAAAGAGCAATATGACGGCTCAGAGCCATTAAAGAGATCTGTACTGTTCCTGAAGCCCTGTGCCTCTCGTGTCTGTCGCGGCGTCTCGCGGCATTTGCTTCACGTTCGGCTTTGGTATGGGCCCGCTCAGTCGAACGTGTCCTCGTAAGGCTTCTTTTCCTTCGAACTGGTGGGTCACGGGGTTCTTGATCCAGATCCCCGAGAGCTTCTCGGCCACCTCGTTTGCCTCCCCAGTCGAGATGGAGGAGGCTTCCCGAATCTCCTCGCCCTTCCTGACCACCCGGACGTGCGCGGCGTACCTGCCGTCACGAATGGGCCGATGGTGCAGGCACACGTCAATCGCGACATAGGGAGTCTGCTCCCACACGATCTTAAGGGTTTAGGGCTTAGGGTTTAGGATATGCGATTCCCCAGGATGAGAATCCCAAAAATTGGGACTCCTCTTTGGGGGCTGAGTTACTAGCCTACTCAGAGTTTGTACTTTGGTCCACTATTCCCTGATAACTCCAACATGACTACTGACTTTAAGATTGCCATGCTCTGAATGGGTTCGGGAATCTAAAACGAGCTTACTCTTCCGAAACCCTTTCATGGTGCCCTAAACCCTAAACCTTAAACAACGGGTTTGGAATCTCTGGCGTGGGGGATCACGACTCTGAGCTCTACTGTGAGGATCGGGCTTGAGGATTTATAGGGTCTCGGGCTTAGGGTCTACGGGTTCGGGTTTAGGGTTTCGGGTGTAGGTTTAGGGTTTGGACCATTGGAAACCCTAAACTTTTAATTTAAACCCTAAACCCGAAACCCTAAACCCGAAACCCTAAACTCTAAACCTAATCCCTGGGTTTAACGTTTAACGGTGGGCTCTTACGACCTGTGCCCTGACTTTCACTGACACCAATGGACCACACCCCCAAAAAACGACACCTGAAATCTCTGGACCGCTGAATCCTAAACCTCTAGACCCTAAACCCTAAACCCTAAACCCTAAACCCTAAACCCTAAACCCTAAACCCTAAACCCTAAACCAAACCTCTAGACTCCTCACCTTGAAACACCGCCCCCCAACAACAAAAAGAAGGGCTTCGTTTCGGGTTGGGCGTTGTGCTTTGGCTTCTACGAACTTGAAAATCGGATTAGAGTACAGATTTCAACGGAACAGGATACACCGTAAACCCTAAACCCTCAACCCTAAACCCACCCCCCTCTGCCTGACGCCGAACACGTCCACCTGCGAGGCGCTCACGGCCGCGGCCAAGGCGATTCCACCTGCGAGATCATCCCGTGCGGCCTCGGTTGAACAAGCCTAAAAAGGCAGCCTAAACCCCCACAATCCTGAACCCTGAACCCCTTAGGCCCCTAAACCGTTAAACCCCTTAAACCCTAAACCCCCAAAACCCTTACGCCCCTAAACCTTCCAACCCCCTTAAACCCTAAACCCCTAAACCTCTTAAGCCCCTAAACCTTTAAACCCCTGAAACCCTACACCTCTGAACCCCCGAACCCTAAACTCCTAAGCCCTGGCTCGGGGCTGAGAGTTGTGGGGTTTAGAGGTTTCTACTTTAGGGTTTAGGGTTTAG